CGGGAGGTCTGAGACCTCGGCACCAGGCAAACAGTCGCCAAGTATCATCCCAGTCCTGAAGGCAGGCGGCAGGCAGACGGAGAGAAGGGAAAGGTCTAGAGAAGCACCTGCGATGAAGTTCTGTCTGCAACAGCACTGCCCTCCACGGAGCTGCTCGAAAGGCAGCGTCCTTACACCAACAGCGCGCAATGCTTGCCACCCCTGAAGCACAGGTTACCCCAGCGGGTGCTGGAGTGCATTTTGCCATCAATGAAAGCTCTCTGAGGCATGGATCAGGCCCACTTTGGTTCTCTCTCTAGTGTCTAGCACAACACACTGTACAGAGCACGGGGGCTGAACACATGTTTAACTGAATCCTCATGACTCACTTATTCACCTGCTAAGCCTTGTTCTTGCCTGTGAAGAAGTTTCTAAAACCCAGTTTGGCAAACAAGACTCTCAGTCTGTCCAGGATTCACCAGATTTACTATGAAAGGTGTGAAGTTTCTGGTGGTCCAGTTTGTGGGTGGTGACCGGTCGTATCTGCAAGGGAGGGGAGAGGCTTCACACTTCCTGGATGCAGATTTGAACAGCTTTTGGGTGGCTTTCAGAATAATTCTAACCCAAGCCGCAACAGGGCAGACTCTCTTCTTCTTCTAATGACCTCAGAGCTTGAAGATGTTTGCCTGAGAGCCCTGCCCTCCTGCCTAAGAGAAGGCAGGGTGCAAGCCCCACCAGAGATGGACAAGTCCCAGTGCCTGTCCTCCCTGGAGCTCAGAGGCAGACAAAACCAAAACCCACTGCCATGGAGTTGATTCTGACTCAGCAACCAGGGACAGAGGAGAACTGCTCCACAGGGTTTCCAAGGCTGTAAATCTCCACGGAAACAGACTGCCACGTCTTTCTTCCACAGAGTGCCTGGTGAGTTTGACTGCCAGCCTTTTTCTTCAGCAGCCAATGCTTTAACCACTATGGCACCCGAGCTTCTTCAAAGGCAGACTTTGTTGTTATTGTTATGTGCCGTCGAGTCGGACCCGACTCATAGCGACCCCTCCTTGAGTTGCCGAGACAGTATCACTACGGAAGTAAGACTGCCCAACCTTCCTGACAGAAGCCCCCAAATGCAATGGAGAACAGGGTGACACTGAACCAAGGACTGGGGCTAGCAGGGAAGGAAGCTGGAAATCTAAAACCAGAGTGTCCACTTTTAGGGCCACTCCACCTGAAAGGAAAGACCATGTAGAAGAACTGTCCAGCAGCCTCAGGGCTGATTCAGAACCACCTCTTTGCTGATGGGCTGTTATGTGGCAAGCAAACAGAGATGGATTCTAAAATGCTGACAAGGCACAAAATGACAGAAGACACAAGCAGCCGTTTTAATAATTAGAACTGAACCAACAGCCAGGTACCAAGCTGATTTCTTCCACACACAGAACATCATCTCTCTGCTGCTACTGCCTTCACGTGACTTGGCCCAAGACACTGGGCTCCTTAGGGCCCACAGGTGAATGGCCTCATTTCCTAAATAAACCCAAGGCAGGGATTCAGCACTGCAGGAGAAAAGGCTACAAGTGGACAGAGGACCACCACAGGGCAAAGCCCTAAGGGAAAGGCCGTCTACCAGGCGGCTCGTGGGGCCCTCCAGGCCCTTCCTCACTAGTCACAAGCAGGAGGGCATCTGCCTTTGGCCCGAGCGCATCACACGCCGGAGGCCGCCAGAGGAAGGGATTTGTGGCAGCCTCTGTCCTCATCGACGTTACGCGGCTGTAGCCACAGCTCATGGTCGCAGCCCTGAGGGTACTGGGAAAGGCAGATGGAGTCACAGGAAAACCCCATTGGGGGAGGACAGGAAACCAGTGCCTACGCGGCATTCTGTGTGCCGGGTCCTATGGTGACCTTCAAAGGCCATTCGTTTAAGCCCCCAAACAACGCTGCCTGGGAACAGATGAACCAGCTTGGGGTCCACAGGGTTAAGAGAGTTGTCAAAGGTTCAAGTACTGATTTGGATGAAGAGAAGGGCAACATACCAAATGTGAGTGATCAACACGGTGGCACTGAGGAAAAGGAAGACATTGAGAGGTACATGGGAGGGACAGACAGCAAAGACGAACCCTTTTGTGCATACAGTACTGCGCAGTCAGTGATGGCAAACACTGATCTACGGGAGGGCAAATGGGTGGACATGCTGAGTGGTCACGTATGCCTAGGCATGGGGTAGTGTGCCCAAGACCACGTACAGGGTTGGCAGACAATGTTTCTCCAAGTGTATTTGTGTGTTGTAAGAAATGCCAGGTGTATAGTAGAGCCGACAAAGGACAAGGTTGTAGCCACTTCTTGGTCACAGCCAGCTACCCAGAGGAAGTGAGTAGTTGGACCTGTGGGCTTGGGACCATGGTCGCAAGGGACGTCAAGCTCAATTGGTATAACATACTACAAAAACATTGTTCCAGATCCTACTTTGGTGAGTAGTGACTGGGATCTTAAAAGCTTGCAAGCCAAGTGGTCATCTAGATGCAATGATGGGTCTCTCCTCATCCAGAGCAAAGAAGAATGAAGAAAACCAAAGACACATGGAAACAATTAGTCCAAGGGACTGGTAGACCATGCAGTCCTCAGTCTACATGACCATGAGACCAGACAAACTAGACGGTGCCCGGCTACCACGGTCAAGTGCCTGGAAAGGGATCAGTGCAGGAGATCCTGGGTGGACTGGAGAACAATGTTGAACAAAACTCAGAATCATTAAAAAAAAAAAAAAAAAAAAGGACCAGGTTTGCTGGTCTGACAGAGCCTGGTGAAACCCCTGAGACTATGGCCCCTAGCTGACCTTCAGGTGGCTTCCAGCCAAATAATCAATGGACATATGGCTGAACATTTATATCAGGTAGATACACTACTTAGAGAGATCAATCATGGGAAATAGAAGGGCTGTGTATGCACAGGGAGACAGCTCAGGGGGCAGGAGTATAGAGGAGGGAAGGACACAGGGAAGAGGTAACTGTGGGGAGGAAGTGGGAAGAGAGCTGTTACACTGTGGGAAATTGCAGTCAATGTCATCAAACAAAATGTGTGTGAACTGCTGTATGGAAAATGAATTTGCTCTGTAAATTTCACCCAAATCACAATAAAAATTGAAAAAAAAAAAAAAAGAGTCATCAAAGGTTGAGATTCAACTTGATGCAATCATGACAGCCGGAGGGCAGTCAGACTGAAGCATTGGATCACCATACTGTCTAGCTGGGGGGTTCTATTTGGTTTCTACCAAATGCTTTCTTTCACAGGTGTTTGGGTATGAAGCTTATCAATGTTTAAACGAAACCAGCTGCCAACAGACTGACCCTAATCCACACTGACTCCACGTGTGTGAGAGTAGAACCGTTCACCATCGGGTTTTCAGTGGTTGATATTTTAGAAGCAGATCACCAGGCCTTTCTTCTGAGGCGCTTCTGGGGGGACTGGACCCTCCAGCCTTTCGGTCAGCAGCCGAGTGTGTTAACTGTTTGCACCCCCCAGGGCCTTCCTGTCAATATTTGTTGTTGTCTATTGGGCAGGTTGGCTCTGACTCAGCGACCGTGTGTACGACAGAATGAAACACTGCCCTACGCCATCCTCACAGTATTTACGACCCTGAAACTCTCCTCTCACCTTGCTGACTCTGATAAAGTGCCAGGAGTTGGGCATCAGGCCAAGAAGCAGAGCTAGGCTCTTCTCTCTTCTGCACAAAGACGTCCTAAGATGTTGCTGCCGCTGGACATGTGAACTGTGGGGACATGAGCCTAAAGGAAGGAGGGCTGCTGGTGCCATTTCACACCGAATGAGGAGCTCTGCCCACTGGTTTTCCAGAGGAGAGGCCAGCACTGGAGTCTGCACACATCCAGGTCAGAAGATCTGTTTCTGCTACCACAGTCTGAATGTGCTCGGGCTGCGTCCACTGTCGTCATCCACAAGCATGGACCCAGGCGAGCAGTGTGGCAGTGACTGGGCATGAAGCAGACATGGCGGCCAGGAAGCTGATGGCTTGTCTTCCTCTCACTCTGCAGAGAAGCTTACCACTGCCACCCACCCAGGGACTTGCTCAACTGCTCTCTCTCACTCCTGGCTGTGGCTGATGACCTGAAACAAGTTTCTGAAGCTCCCCAGGACTCAGCTTCTGCACAGGCAGCAATGACAAAACAGTAGGACTTCGTTGTTTTGAGGGGTTGTTATAGGATTAAATGGGACAGTAAACATGAAGTCCCAAGTGTTGTGCCTAACACACACACACACACACACACACACACGGCTCCTCACTAATCAATATGGTTAAGTTCCAAAGACCAGGTTGTCTGCAAAACTGGTGCCATGCAATCAGGGGCCACGTTCCATCTGTGGCACTAGTGTCCCCCCTTCACTGTTCCTCACTGCCCAATGGGTGTCCCAGCACATCTCAGGATGCATGTAGTGTGAAGGGCCCCCCTTCCCCACCACACCATCCCCAGCACCGCAGAGCCCATGGGAGTTGGGGGTGGTGGTTGTGTGTTGCCCCTTGCCCATCTGGGCAGATTCCCTGTGCCTTACTCATCACCTGCCTTCACTGTCTCACAGACAAACACTACACGGGCTGGGCGGCAGTCAGTGATGGAGAAAGGAAACAGGCTGGAACCAAGACAGGTGCCAGCTATCTAAGAGGATCACCACTTTTCATTTCTCTAAGTCTCAAGACGCCTCCAACTACGAAATTCACGAGGTAGACCAGCACAACAAAAGCTAGAAACAAGTCAGGCATGGATTCAAGAAATGAAACAAAGGCTGAAGGCCCGCAGTGAGGTAAATGGACATCTCTATGCTCAGAGAGCCGACCCTGGGCCCAGAAGGAAGGTGGAGCCCGAGAGGAAGTTGGCTTATGGACCAAATTCTAACACTGTACACTACACCTGTGTGAGTACCTTGAGTCCTGCACTTAGGGGCAAAAGAACTTTCACAGGGAAACGCCTTTGTGCCAGCCATCTCCAAAACACTCTTTCTCACGTGTGGCTACTTACTTGTTGCTGTCTCGGTACTCGTAGACATGACATCCTTGAGGTAACCCAGTCTCGTGGTCCAGAGTGAAAGCAAGCTTTAGCTGAATGGAGAGACAGGAGGGAAACACAAGTAAGTGTCAGGCAGCCTGCTCTACTCACTCCCATGGCTGAAATGAAAAAGTACCAAGCAAAGTCCCACGGTCTGCAGCTGATGCCCTGTGAGAACGTGGGCCTGCATGTGCTGGGAGGTGGCCCGGCCCTGACGGACGCAGCTGTCACTGAGACTGTGAGGAGGACACTACCTTTCCATTCCACACTCAATCAGTATTTACTAAGCACCAGCTTGAGGCCAGACACTGAGCTGGCTGAGGGAGAAGGAACCAGCAGCACACAAGGTGCCTCCTTCAAGAACCTTACAGTGAAGCAGAGCAGACAGACACCAGTCAATCATGCTAATGCAGACACATGTGCGTGCACACATGCATGCATGCACGCATGCACACACACGGCTCCTCACCAACCAACATGGCTAAGTTCCAAAGACCAGGTCGTCTGCAAAATTGGCACTATGCAACCAGGGGCCACACTCCATCTCTGGCACTAGTGCCCCCCTTCACTGTCACTCACTGCCCAGCAGGGGCCCCAGCACATCTCAGGATGCGTGTAGTGTGGAGGGTCTCCCCTTCCCCACCATGCCATCCCCAGCACCACAGAGCCCATGGGGTTGGGGGTGGTGGTGGCGGTAGTTGGGTGCTGCCCACTGTGCACTCCCTCCTGGCATTTGGCCTGGGTGGGAACCCTGCTCATTTTCCATCTACCCTGGTCTCAGAGCCTCACATGGCCTCTTTTCCTGCCTGCTTGCCTCTCCTAACAGTCTCCCTAGCAATTTTCGGCCCTTGCCCGGCCTCCAGAGGAGGCCTGTGACCTCACATCATCCTGTTGTCAACCTGTGCCCTCTGTGGCTAGACTGAGACATCACAGACAAACGGGAAAAGGCATCCCATGGCTGGATGGCTGCCATCCTTTGTGTGGCCTGATTATTGTTGGGACTCTGTTATATCATTTGGGGTGGCCCGTGGAGGGAGCCACAGGCCTGGACCATTGGAGGCCTTGTCTCAGAATTTTTTCACAGTTGTCATAAATGCAACATGTTGGGTAACAAGATTGTTGGGAAGTGAGGAGTAGGTGTGTATGTACACAAACATTCACACGCATGTACATGTGTATGTGTGTAAAGGGACCTGGTGGTGCAGTGTTAACCAAGCACTTGGCTGCGAACCCAGAGACAGGCAGTGTGAACCCACCCAGTGGTCTGTGGAAGGAGCCCTGAGGATCTGCTCCCGTAAAGAGGACAGCCTAGGAAGCTCTGTGGGCACCTGCACTGTCCCACGGGGTTGCTAGGAGCCAAAACTGACTTGATGGCAATGGCTTTTACGCATGTATGTCTCTGTGTAAAAAACCTCGTATTACAATAAATTCTCTGAAGGAGGACAAAACATCCCACGTTCCTGTAACAGCAAACACCCTCAACCAGCCTGGGAATCAGGCGAGGTATCCCCCACTCTGGGGGAGCAGGGAGTTACATGGGCTGTATGGCGGGATGAGGAGAGAGGAGGGACCCAGATGGAAAGGACAGGGTGTGTGGCCCATTCCAGGGCCTGCAGGACGGTGGTGAAGCTGAAGCCCGAAGCTACAGGGAGGACGGTGCGTGGTGACGTGGCGAGGCAGCCAGCTCAGACCGTCCAGGGCCTTCCTGGCCGTGTTAAAATTGCTGGCCTTTATCTTAACAGTGAATGGAAAGTCTTAGATGGCTGTAAGGAAGGGGTGGACGACATAATCAGAACATTTTCCCACAATCCCTCTGCTACTCTGTAGAGAAGAGCAGGGAGAAGGAGCCCTGGGAGGCTACCAAGAAGTCCAGGTGAGCTACGATGGGGTGGAACCAGAGTGCTTGGCGGGCGGGCTGAAGAGACAGGGACCATGTGAGGTCTACTTCAGATGTGGACTCAGTGGGCTATGCTGCTGAATTCGATGTTGGGTGGGGAGGCGGATGGGAAAGAAGACAGCCAGGAGGGGGCAGGTGTTCTCAACAACTGGGCAGGCATGGTTCCAGGGGCCAAAGTAGGGAAGCCTCTGGGTGGGGTGGGGTCGGGAGTCACCAATCTGACTGTAGAGACGCTAACTTTGGGGCGCACACCAGCGCTCTGTGATGAGGGTGGAGCGGGACCCAGAGCTGCCTGGTGCTCAGGGGAGAGCGGAGCCACGCTGGGTCACTGGGAAGCCGGGCTCAGCGAGGCTCTGTTTGTCCTTCCACAGCTGAGTCTGACAGCTTCACATCCCCAAACGTGGAGCCAATACCTGCATTTACAGAGTCACTGGGTTTCCGAATCCCCGGGGGACTTTTAACTAAAACGAACTGCACCTTAGAAGGACGCATCATAACAATGCTTTCTTTAACTGCAGGGCTGTTAACACGGCTAGCGACCTGCACCATCAGTCGCTGGGTGAGTTTTCTCCTCCTTAGAGGGAATGAGCTGGCCGGGATGACGGTCTTCTTACTGACCCAGATGGAAACCCACAAACAGAAACAAGCCCATGTTCGCCACCACGGAGCCAGAAACTTCCAGTCAAAGCCACATGTTCCCTTCGCAGCCCGGCTCCCATCGGCCCAGCTCTACCAATCAATCAGTCACAACCCTTGGGCTTTCCCCACCTAGGTTCAAGTCTGCACTACTGAGAAAGTTCAAACCCCGTGACTCAGGGCTCCAAGTCACAGGGTGGCTGAGAGAAGCAATCAGAAAGGGAAGGGAGAGCTTTACTCACGAAACTGTTCGCTTCAGTGTTATTTACTGGAAAAACTTGAGAAGACCGGCCACAGCAGTACGGCTATGCAGGTTAGGCCACCGTCATGTGCAGGAAAGCATGCAGCTACCCAATTGCACATGAGGAATTTTACTAACCTGGGAAAATGCATGGGTTAGAAAAATGCAGGCTGATACGTGATCATACACCACAAGACAATATAAAGAACAGAGACTGCCTGGAAGAAGACTAGGAGGGAGGACGTCAAAATGAGGACGGTGGCATCACTAGGTGGGGCCATGTGACCTTCTCAGTGTTCCCAGTTCTCCAGTACTTCTTCCCCTTTTTTTATGACTGGTGGTCCTGACTTCCTTACAGAACTTTAAGTCTTTCTTGGCCTCCTGCTCCTGGTTTGGGCTCAGCTGGTCTTTGCAGCGTCTTATGCCCGTCCTATTAGCCATCAGACCCAAGACATGGAGCTGCAGGCTCTCAGCTCATATGCAAGTAGCACTCCTGCTTCCTGTGATGGAAGGGGCCCTGGGTCTGCAAGGACGAGGCTCCCGGGCTGGCACGAGGAACGCAGGGTTGACAAGCAGGACAGGAGGCCAGCGCTCAGCAGTGCGGCTTTATTCTGTCAGCAATGAGAACCGTGGCAGGTCCCTGAGCAGCAGCCAGACCCACTCTGATGCTCCAGTGGAGAACGGACTGAAGGGAGAGAGGGGCTGAAGAACGGGGCTCTCACAAGAAGCTATGCGGTGACCCGGATAGGAGGGTGAGGATGCGGCCTATTGGGGGAGGCAGGGCTGAGCAACAGCTGACAGACAGACTGACAAGACTCAGAAGCACACACGCCCAACCATGTGACACGGAGACCATTCCCCAGCCCCCCATGACAAAGTGAAAAAGGAGTGAGGAACTAGAAGCTATGGTCCCAGTCATGAAGGAACTGTGGGAAACTGCACTCCAGCGGACTCTCAAAGTCCAGACACGAAGTACTTTCCTAAAAACAGGTGTGCAGAGGTGGGGATAGAGAGTGGGGAAGGGACTGAACACAGGAAAGAACTCTTATCTCCTGAATGGAGAACTCCTAGTGCTGAATGTCTACCAAGTAAAACCCCCAAACCCACAGCCTTCGAGTTGATTCTGACTCATAGCGACCTCCACTGGGTTTCTATGGCTGTAAACCTTCACGGAAGTACACTGCCTCATCTTTCTGTGGAGCAATTGGTGGATTTGAACTGCCTACCTTTTGGTTAGCAGACCAATGCCTTAATGACAGTGCCACCAGAGACCAACCATTTAAATTAGGTATTATTATTTCTATTTACAGTTGAGAAACCGAAGGCTACAAAAGGTTAAGCAAGCCATTTACACAAACCACGATTAGAACTTCAACCAATTCTATCTAGTTCCAAACGCCACACTCTTCCCACCTTCCCAGTGTTCTAGGACTTGGTGGTGGTCTGGATCTGAAGTCTGGGGGAGAGGGAGGAGTCAGAGATAATGTTTAAGGTTCTTGGGCTTGGACAACAGGGAGAGGTGATGCCACTCACCATGACCAGGAGGAATGGCAGGTCTGGGAGGAGAGTCTCAGTGCCGGCTGGGGTTGCTCATTTACGGCTCCCGGGAGTCAGCCTAATGGAGAGGTGATGGCTCTGAAGCTGATGAGCAAGCTATAATCTGGAGATAGTTTGGGAGTCTTTGGTGGTAAGATGGTAGCTGAAGCCACTGAATGGAGGAGACGGCCAGAGAAGGTGTCTCGACTAAAAAGGGGGTCTTGGATAGAACTTGAGAAATATCTACATCAAAGAGCTGGAAACAGGAGATTGAGAAGGAGTGGCCACTGAGTTCTGAGATATGACATCAGAGAAGGCAAGGGGAGGAGAACATGTCTCAAGGAAGCAGCAGTCAGCAGTGTTAAATCCTTCCAAGAGGTCAAGTAAGAGAGGAACGTGCACCCAAAGTGTTCAATGGATTTGGCAACAGGAACTCTCAGGGGAGCGATGGGGGTTAGAGAGCAGGGTGCGACGGGCTGAGGTGGGGAAGTGGGGACTGTGAGTACACACAACTCTTTTAGCACATCACACTGTGGTGGGGAAGAGGCAGGACGGAGGGGATGGGATGAGACAGGTATCAGGATGGGAATGAAGGAGAGTGACTTTTAAGATGACAGAGACTTGTTTAAATGCTGACAAGAAGGACGTACTACAGAGGGAGGGGGAGAAGGCACCAGAGAGACAGAAAGAACAGAAGAGCCGAGGTCTCCGAGACGACAAGAGGGACTGGAATCCAAGGCATG